TACCTTTACTGAGCTATACAAGTGACATTCCTTAAGCTTCGGTTGGCTTCAATTTATCTCAATATCAGAACAGACAATAGCATAGTTGCTATGTCATTTCCAGAAGGCTTTCAAATCACCTTCAGCGACGTGCCAACCGAAACAGCGGCCAGTGGCACTTCGATACTTCTTCCAAGCGGCAGAATACAGTGCCTCCTCTCTACTTCTAATGACCCTGACCAATGGTTAGAAGCAGCCGTAGGAAGCTTTGATATTGGTATGGATATCTATACCAGACCAGATGATTGGAAATCTCTTGGTGAAGCACAATCCCGTTTCATCGAAGAGCAGGATTCAATGACTCGGCGTGTGCCCTTTATCTATGAAAAAGGAACACCAGTTGGTGGGTACATTGGTCTATGTCGGACGTAATACTAAGTACGTCACCCATAGGACCTCGTTCATCACGTGTAGATTCTTTTCTACTTCCACATCCAAATAGTATCAGACCGTCTATGGAGAGGAGAAAAGAAGCCCCCACTCTCCGCAAGAAGCTCTCAAACGGATCAGAGAAAAGCCGAACTTCTATTGATCTCGATGAGCAGCTTGGGTAAGCGCCAGCCTCCTTCATTAAATAAAGAGCTTTCTGACATATATGGATAGGATATCGCGACCTCCATCTCAACACAATTTACATGTCCCCATCCAAGACTCTAGTAGTATTGATGAGTCTGATGAGCCAAAAAGTGGTACAGAAAGTGACGGTTATTACAGTGAAGAGGACCTTATAGGTATAGTGTTCCATTGAGGACAGTCTATGATGCTCACTTCTTGGAAGACGACCGAAACTGGCCAGAGCTAAGTCACCACGCCAATGTTGTAAGACATTTCCGGCGTATTGGTGGGCATATCCCGGGACAAGTCCATGCCCCTCAATTCGAACTCTCGCAGGTTGGCAATATTTCGTGCCCAATCGCCTTTCCTAAAATCTCACATCGATCTCTTAGGAAGCTCGGATACCTCTGCGTCAGGTT